TTGTCAATGTATTTGAATTTTATTTGCTTTTTTGAATAAATTGTTGTGGTTTGATTTAAACGGACACGCTACGCTTTTCCCAGTTTCATCTCTATAACTTTCTTGGTAAAAATCAAGGTTTATCCCAGCATCAACCAGGTGGTTGGTATCAAAAGGTCGTACAAAAGAAGCTGAGAAGATTTTACGTAAAGCTGCTAAAGTGAATAAAGTAGAACTTCCCGATGAATTATTCGATAAAGATTGCTTGGAGAAAGAACCACGAGTAAAAATTTGGGAAATGTTTACATCACCCGTCTTAGTTATCAGATCTTTGATTTTATTCTTTAATTGGTAAGATAATATTTCAGTATTTATTAGCTAGATTAGGTTGATATCTGTAATATATTTGGTCTGATACCGGCTGGAACCCGGTTTGACCGTCTATATAATATAGGGGCTGTTATGAAAAAAGCGCCTCGTTAGGTTTCCAGGTTTACTACTCTGCACGTTAAAGGTCTCTCTGATCCTATACATTTTGGGGGAAAATGCTATTGCCACGGTCGGTGACATTCAATAAGAACTCGGCAAAATGGTGTACGCGCATTTCGTTAACCACATAACATATGAGAGACAAAATAAAGCATCAATCTATACACATCTATCAATGTATACACATGGGGTTACTGGATGATGCTCCACACATTTGAGTGTTTAAAGTTTGTACCAAATGCGGATTTACCTTATAAATTTATATTTTCAGGGCAGTAATTTCTATGGTATATTATGGTTTGAATTTATATATATCTAATCTCAGCGGAAATATTTACATCAATTTTACTATATCAAATATTGTAGAATTTCTAGGGTATTGCTCTGTATTATTATTTGCTGGGAGAATTGGTAGAAAACCAATCTTATGTAGTGGTATGGTTGTTGGTGGAGCAGCCTGTGTACTCTCAATATTTCCAGTACTGTATGGAAATTCAGGTGAGTGACTTAATGTGAGTATTGAACATTGCAGTTGCTTTTATAGGGATAGTAAAATGTTTCTTTAACTTTGTAGGTATGTACTGGGACTTTTAAGCATCGATGTTCGCTATTCCAATTTTCAA